CAACACAACACACAACACACACACACCACATGCACATTGCACACACACACCACACATACACTACACAATACAAGCACACTACACATACACCCCACATACACACTACACACACATGAACACATGTACACATGCATACACAGACACACACACACTCCACACACAAGCTCAGAGCCAACATCCAGCACACAGCAGAGTCACAGACAGGAGAGAGGGAACCACTGCCCAGTGGCTCACACAGATCTGGATCTGCTTTGGACCTGACTTGGTGAGAAGAGTAACAGGTTATATTTTTCCTGCCACATTTCATCCTCAGATGACACTGCCACAGAGGATGCAGAGAGGGACTCCTTGAGTCACAAATCTGGACTGGCTGGCATGACCAGAAGATTACAGCCATCACTCTGTACCGTTAACACCCAGGGCAGGGTGAAGCTGGCCTCCACTCCCTCTTTAAGTGGTCTTTAGCCTTGGAGCTGTGGGCTGGGCCTCTTCAGGTCTGTCCCACAGGCAACTCTTTCCTGGAAAGACCTGAATGACAAGCCTAGCTCTCTGTTTGAAGGGAACAGATTGATGACAAGCACCCAGGGAAACTGAGGGCTGCTGCAGCACCAAGAAGACACATTAGGAAGGCTGGAGGTGTGTGTGTGTGTGTGTGTGTGTGTGTGTGTGCACCTATGTGTCTGTGCATCTGTATGTGTGTGTGCCTGTGTGTGCACTTGTGTGTATGTGTCTGTGTAATTTCAGTGTGTCCCTGACTAGGAAGCTTTTTATCTGCTTATTCTGTTTCTTTATTAATTTTTGAGGGTCACGACTTCAAGTTGGCCTTGAACTTGCTGTCTTAGTTTGCCTTCTATTGCTGTGATAAAGCACTATAACCAAAAGCAACTTGGGGAGGGAAGAGTTTATTTTTGGCTTACACATCCCAATCACAGTCCATCTTTGAGGGAAGCCAAGCCAGAACTTAAGCAAGGCAGGAGCCTGGAGGCAGGAACTGAAATAGAGAGCACTGCTTACTGGCTTATTCCCCATGACTTGCTCAGTCTGCTTTGTTTGTTTGTTTGTTTGTATGTGTGTTTTGTTTTATTTCATTTTGTTTTGTTTTTTGAGACAGAGTTTTTCTATGTAGCTTTGGAGCCTGTCCTGGAACTCACTCCGTAGACCAGGCTGTCCTCGAACTCACAGAGATCTGCCTGCCTCTGCCTCCTGAGTGCTGGGATTAAAGGCGTGAGCCACCAAAGTCCTGCTCAGTCTGCTTTCTTAGAGCACCCAGGACCCTGCCCAGGGTGGCACTGCCCACAGTGGGCTAGGCCCTCCCACAATGACTAGTAATCAGAAAGAGGCTCCACAGATTTGCCAAGAAGCCAATCTGATGGAGGCATCTCCGCAGATGAAGTCCTTCTTCCCAGATGGCCCTGACCCAGGCCAAGCTAACAAAAAACCTTAACCATCATTCTCACCATGAAGCTGAGGAAGGCCTCGAACTTCTGATCCTCCATCTCCTGAGTTCTGGAATTATAGGTACACATAACAAACAAGGCTGCTGGCACCAGGGATTGAACTCACAGCTTCTGCTCACTGGGCAAACACGTTAGCAACAGCCATATCCCCAGGCCACGCACCAATTATTTGTTTGTTATTTTTATGAGTGTGTGGTGTATGTATGTGTACATGTTTGTGTGTGTGCCAGTGTGTCGGCATGTATGTACATGTGTGTGAAGCCCTGAGGTCAATGTTAGGTTCCTTCCTCGAGTGCTCTTTACTAGTTGTGAGACAGACTCTTCCACCGAACCTGGAGCTCACAAGTCAGCTGGGCAGGACAGATATAAGCCTCCTGTCGTTGCCTCCCCAGAGCTAGGACATAGATAGATATATGCTGCCATGTCCAGCTTGCGTGTGGATGCTGAGGATCCACACTCAGATCCCCAGGCTAATATGACAGGCACCTTACCACCTGAGCTATCTATCTCCTAGCCCCTGGGCTATAAATTCTTTTATTATTATTAATTATTATGGTTTTTTTCTTTTTCTTTTTTTTTCTTTTTTGGACAGGATGTCTCTGTGTAGCCCTAGCTGTCCTGGAATTCCCTCTATAGATCAGGCTGACCTCAAACTTAAGAAATCCACCTGCCTCTGCCTCCCGAGTGCTGGGATTAAAAGCATGAGCCACCACTGCCCGGCTCTTTCTTAAATTTTTAAAAAGATGTATTTAGAGTTATTGTTGGGAGAGAGGGGAGTGTTGGGCATTAAACCCCTGCAAGGCAACTCCTCTGCGGCTGAGCCTCACTGCGGCCAGGAGCCTGGTTTTAAAGGATGTGTACTGCAGTGCTTCCTAGTAGCATCCCCTGGGAGCTCAGTGAAATGTCCCTCTGGGGTCCCTTTTCCAGGACCTTTCCTTGGAAAAAGAGAGCATGGCCCACATCCAACCAATGGACCCCTATTTACAAATGTGCCCAGTTTCCTGGAAAAACTTGGACGTTGCAGCTATATTTTCGAGAGAAAATTCTGGAATGGGTGAGTAGCAGAGCAGGCTGCTAGTGGCAAAGGCCCAAAATGCGGATCCGTAGGATGTCTTGCATGTGGGCTGGGTGGATGCATCAATCCCACCAGCAAGGCGAGGTCCCTTGGAAGAGTGCTCGGACAGTGGTTAGAGCCTACGTGAGTCCATCGCTCTGTCACTGTCTAACTTCATGACCCTGAGCAAATCACATGACTGCTCTGTGACTTGGTCTGCCAGAGCAGGGGTGTCCAGCTTCTTCTCAGAGTCATGAGGACTGTGCCTGCCTTGTTAACGAGGCCTTATCCACAGCAACTGTTCTAGCTCTTCGTTGTCTGTCTGCATCAAAAACATTAGAAGGGGATGACTCATGGATTCTTGGAAAATAAGCTACTCAAAAACCTCACTTAAAAAAAATCTTAACTGCTCTCATTAGATGTCCGCAGCCTTGAGTGCAGCAGGGTCAAAGTGAGAAGTCACACAAAGAGCCACCTCTCAGCCCTCTGTCACTCCAGTCGACGCTCTCCAGAGCTCTGCTGATGGCCAGGCAGATGGAGCAGAGACTCTGCTGTCCCTTCATGTCTTAGGGGGCCTGGCTTTTCTGAGTTTGGTTTTCTCACCCAGAAAGTGCCATAACCATACTGGCCACAAGGACCTTTGTCCCTCGGCTGAGCTTAGGTGATGTGTGGCATTCAAAGGACTGGACTCAGGATATAAGACGGAGGCACAGGACACATAGAGAGAAGACGGCACTGAAGCCAGTAAGGTGGCTCAGTGGGCACAGACGCCTGCCCTCCAGACTGATGCCAAGTTAGAAGCCTGGAGCCCACTGGTGGAAGGAGAGAACCAACTCTTAAAAGCTGCCCTTTGACCTCCACGCATGCGTATCTCCCACTCCAATAAACAAACAAAGGTAATTTAAAAAGAAGAGGAGTTGGGGTTGGGGATTTAGCTCAGTGGTAGAGCGCTTGCCTAGCTAGCCCAAGGACTTGGGCTTTGTACTCAGCTATGGTTGGGGGGAGGGGTGGGGGATGGGAGAAAGGAAGACTGGACCAGGAACAACAAAAAGAAGAGGAGGAGACAGTTCAGGAGGAGCTGGGGGCCCAGTGTTTTAAAGCATGTTTTTAATCCCAGTACTTAGGAGGCAGGGGCAGGTGGGTCTCTATGAGTTCTAGGCCAGCCAGAGCTAAATAGTGAGACTCTGTCTCAACAACAATAAAAACCCAAACAAAAACCGGCACATGAATGTTCACTTGTAATACCATTGCCCCTGTTAAGTAAAACCGCACAATAGGATTCTTTGGGGTAAGGGACCTGGGGGAATCAAAACAGAATCTCATGTGTCCCAGCCTAGCCTCAAACTCACTATGTAGCTAAGGATTGATCACCTTGTACCCCTGGTCCCTCCTGTCTCTGCTACCCAAGTGCTGGCATTGCAAGCATGTGCCAACCATGCCACAACTTCAACCCAGGTCACACATTAGGATTCTAAAGGTTGTTTCCTGTCTCTAGGGTAACAGAGATGTGGCAGTGTGTCTTCAGGGTAGGAGTACAGCCCCTGGAACCTCTCGGGTTGAGGCTTAGAAGGCTCTTTTCTCAGATGGCACCATCAGGAACTGGAGGTTTGATGCCGAGACTTAGGGTAGAATGGAGGGTTCGCTCCCATTAGGAAGACTGTGAGCTAGCCTCTCTCTCCCTCTCCCTCTCTCCCCCCTGCCCCTCTTCTCCCTCCCTCTCTCTCCCTCTCCCTTTCTCTCACACACACATTTGTATACACACATGAATACATGCGTGTACACACATATACATCTGCATGTACATGCATGCACATACACAAACATGAGTCCTTGAGAGTGCGCACACACACTCGCGCATGCCCGCGTGCGCGCACACGCACACGCGCGCGCGCGCGCACACACACACACACACACACACTCACACACACAGCCTTCATCCCTGACATCCTTGTTGGGTTTCCTAGATTAGTCAGAGTGTTTGATGATGGAGTTCCAGGCGGGGGGGGGGGGGGGCGCGAATGCTATGATCCCCTCCTCTTATTGCTCTGCACCCCGGAATCAAACACACACTTTGAAGAACAGATTCTGTGAGGAGTCTCAGGTGTTTCTGGTGTGGATTGGCACCTCACAATGTTAAAAACTGGGAGGGAAAGGAAAGCTCAGACACCTCACTGGCCCAGCCCTTGGGCTGTCTTTCTTCCACCATTAAGATGCCCTGGGACCTTGCGGGAAACATATTTTGTGGGGCTTGCTTCTTTCCTTGTTAAGATGAGTGACTAGAGTCAGGCATAGTGGCATGCCTTTAAGGAGACAGGCAGATTTCTATGAGTTCAAGGCCAGCCTGGTCTACAGAGTGAATTCCAGGACAGCAGAGTCTATGAAGAGAGACCCCATATCAAAAAATAAACAAACAAACAAAACAACAACAACAAAAAACCCCACAAACTGAAAAAGACAAGAGACTGATTGAAACACAGAGAGACAAATCATTTTCAAAAGCAAGAAATAATGCCGTGTTTATTACATTGTGAAAAGTTTGTGCTCAAAGGTAAGAAACAGTCTTGTAGAAAACAACCAAATAAATAAAAATAAATAAATAAATAAATAGGATCACTTCAAAAGGGGGTCCCAGGGTTGGGGAAGGAGCCCTTGGTGGAGTCAGGAGCCGGGCGGTGTCTGCAACTGGGAGCTCATCCTAATACCGCTTCAGCACTATGGGGAAAAGAGACAGGGAGATGTCAGACTTGGGGGTGAAACTGAGGCAAGGGCTAAGGAGAAAAAGAGACAGGGAGATGTCAGACTTGGGGGTGAAACTGAGGCAAGGGCTGAGCTGCCCTCCACCTGCAGTCCCCAAAGGATGTTGAAGTTTACGGCTTTGGAAAAAGCAATCTCACTGGGCCTCAGTTTCTACTGTAAAGTGGGTCCGTTGTGCCCTTTGCCTTTGACAATTCAGTGTGGAGAAAACAGAGAGGAAATGCTCTTTCCTCTATGAAGGGGTGGTCAAATAACAGGCAGTCTGCACCCCGAGGTGCATTTGACCCCTCTGATGGAAGGTAGGAGGTGGTGACTTGTGAGGATGTAACGAAGCACCCATGTGACATTTCCTGACAGGTTGCCTGGTCCTGAAGACCGTCAGCAAGGTGGAGAGCTATGCAAGTATGCCGGATAGCAGACCTAGGGACTTCTGCTGGTGGCATGCCATGTGTGGGGATGGGGTGGGGGCACAGCTTGCAGGGAAGTGGCAAGGCAGAAGCTCACCGTTGCAGCCCAGACGACTGACTGAGCCGATCCGGTCTATCCTCTGCCCAAAGCAGCCCGAATTATGCATCTTCTTGGAGTTTTGAAGTTTCTGTAGGACCTGGAGGGTGCTGTCTTGAGACCCAAGGGTGCTTTGGGGAGGTGCTTTTGTGACGCCTTGGTCCTTCAGGAGCTGCCCCCGAGCCACCGCCTCTGCCTTTTCCCTCAGAATGTTCAGCAGTGTCTGTGATGAGAGTGGGGAACCCAGGCCTCAGAAACACACTCCTGGCTCTCCCTTTCCTCCATGGTGCCCATTGGTTAAGAGTCCTGGTACTCAATCTTGCTGCTTCCCGAGTCTCACAAGGCTAATTCCCAAAGGACATGAGGTCTTTTCTTTGCCGCTGCCCAAACCCTTCAGGCAGACCCCATCCGTCTATGCAGCCCCTCAGCGCTCACCTGCATCTTGGATTGCTCCGGAGACTGGCTGGGACTGCCCAGGGGGTGGGAGTGACTTCCCAGCGGTGACAGATAAAGAAAAAGCAGGAACAGAACCATCCGGGACAGCACCTTCTGGAGATCCATGTCGTAGAAGTGATGGACCAGGCTGCTGTGGCGGTGCCTTGTTCCACCTCCTCAAGCAGCTTGTGTTCTGGCGTCTTCAGCCACGGTGCTTCTGCCTTTTATCCTGGAGCTGGGTGTCCGGCCAGCCCTCTCATGGAGTAGGGGGTGGGGTTATCTCTAATTTATCAGCCACATTCCTGCCTGCTGAGCTCAGGGCCTGAGAATTCCCCCCTCTGTGCCTGTGTGGGGTATTCGTTGTGGGTGGAGGCTGTGGAGAGCGGGCCTTGTATAGAAATGGGCTGGGCTAGGGTAGGAGTGTGCGGGGGACACTAACATGCTCCCTCCTTTCATGTAATCGTCTGAGTGTCTTTAACATCCTGCCCCACCCCTACTGGAGATGGCATGGAGAAGAACCCCAGCTTCCCTCGCCTGCAGCCGAGTGTGGGGCTTATGGGGTGACTCATTGAAAACACTCCCTGGCAACACCCACCATCACCAGCTTCCCCGAGAGAGTGTCCTCAGAACCTGTAATCTAGGCCCTGCCCGGCTTCCGAGCACCTGGCTGGACCGCTGGGCTGGACCGCTGGACTGCACCGCTTCCCGGCACCCTAGTAGCTGTCCGTGGTTCTGATCTCCACAAGTGAACGTCACACAAACTCTGCCACTCTCTCCTCAACCCATTTCCAGGCCAGAAGGGTCTCTCACACCCCCCAAAACCTTGTGAAACTTTTTGCCCAAGGATGCTCACTCTCTAGTGTCAACTGATTAAAAACTGGGATATGACAAAGAACTTCTGGAATTCCGACCCTCTCTCTGTCCCTTAATGAGGAGAACTGATTAGGATAGAATTTTGAGAGCCTGGCCCAGAGATGAGGTCATGTAGGAATGCCTTCTGGGGGCATCTCCAGGTGCCAGAGTCTCCTCCCCCACCATGAGTGGAAGAGAAAGGGTGCTTAGACACTAGAGGTGTGGGAAGGGCCTCTCCCCAGTGTTCTTATCAGATCACCCATGAGTGACTTCTCCCTAACACACCAGCCTCCCATCTCAGATGAGAGATGAGATTCTGAGGGGAAAAGGCCCTGGGATACATACCTCCCAAACATGTGTGACCAATGTCACCACCTCATCCGCAGAATCTGTGTTAACAAGTGTCAGCGTGGTGAAGGACAGTGACCAGGAGTAGCAGTGGGTTATGGCACAGATGGGAAAAAGGGATAGTTAGAAGCTCATGACTTGCCAGG